TATTACTGCGAGGAACGCTTTCACACATTTCATGAAACCGCAGTACACACATGATTTTCATATATTCAAAAATTCATTAATTTATATCCCTTGGATGGGTTTGTTGGCTCAGCTGGTAATGCTCTGTACTGGTATCGTGGAGGTCATGGGTTCAAATCCTGTACGGGCCTGAACTTTTTTCAGGCCCTATTTTCTACCTACCAGATAAGTAGGGTCTATTACTGCGACGAACGCTTTCATACAGTCTTTCGTAAAGTTACATATGATCAGTTCTGTCAAAAAAGTACACTTTCGCCGATAAAAAAATTCTGTAGATCGCTAACGAATTATTTTTTGTTTATTGTTCTTGTGCAAGTGGTGCTAATTGCATTTAAATTTTGTGTGCGCTTTCTTTGTGTCATTACGTAACGTTACGTAACGTAGCATGTATTTAAACCGTATTGTTCATCGTACTTTGTTCAGTTTTGTCCAGTATTTTGTTTAGTGTTCGATTTTTTCTGGTCACTCGCTTCTTGCAAGTATTTCGCCTCTAGGCAGGAAATCCAAAACATCGCAACAAAAGTAAGGGCAAGATTTCCATATAACCCCATCATCAATTATGCAGAGACTGTTGCAAAGAAACCTTTATATTTAGTCTTTATGAAATGGAATGCATGCATAATTAATGTATGGGGTTATATATATGGAACTCTTGCAAATGTAAGTTTTGTATTATGTAGTTTTCATCGTTGTTTTCGTTGTAGCTTTCCTTGTGTATTTAGTTTAGTTTCCAGTTTTTAACCGTGTCGTGTCGTGTCGTTTCGTTTCGTGTTGAAAATTGTGCAGTTACAGTTTCTCCTTACCAATAAAGATAATCAGTCGCCCGTGGCAGTAATAAATTGGAAACTCTTAATTTCAGAGCAAAGAGAATTCGAACCTCTAAAGGCATGTAGAAAAGGATGACGAATGATATTTTTCCCAGGTTAAATTGATTGAAGAGGGATATCGATGATAGAGTATGATTATTGACTATGAAGATCAATATATATTAACAGATTAAAAGACGACGAACAGGATTCATTTGAAATCTTTTTTCTTTTCAACAATAAAACAATAATAATTACATCATGTTTAAGTGGTTCACCGCATCCACGAATGGATGGTAGTGAAATTGCGAAATTACTTGAGGCGAAATACAAAATCATGGAGTCTTTAGCTCAGCTGCTCAACACACGTCGACGCCGCCGTCGACTTGTAGAATCACGGTTTGAAATCGTAACTTCCCTAAGCCTTTTCCCGTAGACATTTGAGAATGGGGAAAGAGCCA